TCCCAGCTCGGCAGGAGGGAACTAGGGGCAGCGCCCTGATTCCTAGGCGGGGAGGCGCAGCCGAGGAGCCCTGGAGTTTCGGGGTGAGTGAGAGCGGAGGACTGATCAGCCCAGGGACAGAGATCCCGTCTCTGCTCTCCCGTGCGCTGCCAAACAAGCTGCTGCCCTGTCGGGCTGGGGCGATTCCTGAGCCCTTCTAGAGGCTGGCGCTGGATGGAGAGGGAGCAACATGCAGTTAAACTACTTTCCCCTCCCCAGCCCTAGCTCCCAGCTAGCCAAGTTGCCAAAGGACTTCAGTTGATAGCCCAGAAACATTAGATTCTGATCTCCACTTTCCTTAAATCGCCCGTTAGGTGGCTGCAGAAGCTAGGGGGCTGTATGGAAGAAAGCGAGCCTTAAAGTGCCATTCGGGGATGCCTGTTGAGTATTGTGGACACGGCAGCATGATCGTTTCCTCTAAGCACAGAGTTGATACAACCAGAAGAGAGACAAACGAAAGCAATGCTTCCAGGTTGTGTGTCTGTTCTTATCTGGGCAGGTGCTAAGTGTTGTCCGATATGTTTATGTGGGTGTTCTCTTCAATAGATATTAATGGTGTGTGGTAAGATATTTAGATGGTGAAAGTACTACAGTATTGTGGCTATTTGCATTCATTGTAATATTTTCTCAACCCAATAGCTAAACTTTGAAGCTGTGTTTTTTTTACATATGTAAAACAAATATGTAGGGCAGGAGCAATTAAAGACTGTTTCATTTTGTCAGAAGTATTTAGCTAGAAAAATGGCAACTGCTATGTCATGGAGTTATTTTAAGTATCTAGTAAAGATGAGTGTTCTGTGGTAGCCAGTGTCCTTCTTCGGGGTCAAGGGGGAAAAAGTTTGGTATTCTGGTTATAGCATGGTGAGCATGTCCAGAAATGAATTGCCATCAATGTTCCCTCTAATTTTTTCCATCCATTTGCAGAATAAAATGTATTCTGTGCACTGAGTCATGTGAAGTTGTGCACCACCATAGAAACACAGGCTGCTGGCTGTGAGTAGCTTTGCCAATCAGCTGGGTGGCACTTGAATCTCCCCTGGGCCGCTGCCCAAGTGCACAACTTAGAGTAGTGTTTCTTAGACTTTTTGAGACCACGGAACACCAAACAATATTTTTTTATGTGGAACACCTATGAAAATTTTCTTAAAAAAAAAAATTGTAGTCAGACAAAGAAGTAACACAAACAAAGAAGAGCTCGTGGTACACCTGCGACTTGTTCTCGGAACATGTTCCATGGAACATAGTTTAAGAAACACCGGCTTAGAAGGAGCACTGCTTACCATGCTCTGAACCTTTGCATTTGATGCTCAAAATGTCCAGATTGTGGGAGTTTAGCTCTTTATCTCTGTCTTCCTTCAAGTTACCTATTATCCTAGTTAAAAACATGGTTTATTTTGCTAATGTAGTGACTCAATAATAATAAAAATTGCACTAAAATCACCCATTCCTGGTAATGCTGAAACAACGTAAAACCACAACATCTAATAGAATGCAAATATAGTCTAATTTATTTAGCTTTCTGGAAATGAATGGAGAACAGGGATCAACTGGATGGATGCATAATTGCTCTGAGAGTCTTTTGTACTGAATGTTAACTTGATAATTGCTGAGATGGCTTATAAATTCAGAAGATACCTGAATATATGGTATGATTGTATTTATTATTTGTATATGTGTATACTTCTCATCTCCTAAAAAGTGGCTTTCTTTCCTCTGAAGCATAAGATATTGACCATGGCCAGTGGCAGGATACTAAACAGATCACTGTTCTGTGCTAAATTAATTTTATCCTGCAATGTAGGACTTGCCAGTTTCCTAATATCAGATACAAATATGGTTCTAGGTTTGTACTTGGGATCAAAAAATGTTCTGTAACACAGAATGTGGAATAGAGTTAGTAACAGAGATTAATCAAGAAACTAAACAGGATGAAATGAAGGAATTCATTGTCTTTTTTTTTTTCTCCCTCTATCAAATTTCCTGTGCTCATGACTGAAAGGAATCTGGCTTGTCCATACTTGATAGAACACTTCTTTCTTCTGTAAAGGTATCAGATACATTCCCCTGAATAAGACTGAAAATAAAACTCTAACAAGCACCCACTATTTCAAGGGGAATGTAAAAATAATGCTTAAATATTCAGTGAAGGAAATGTTTTCTTGTATATTATTATAATTTTATTAATTTTACTTCCTCCCTATTTGGCACTGGTGATTTCTATTAGTCAAGCCTGTCATTAGCTGTTGTAATAAAGAAATGGTGGCCTTAATCAGGTGGTAGACTTAAGTTCAGATGCTGCTTGCTATCCAAGCTTCTAAGGCAGTAGTTCCCTTTCAATGGGTAAAGTTCAGCAGCTGTTGCACAGTTTTCATCTAATACCAAATCAGTTTAATGAGGCTCTTAGATCCTGTCTTCAGATTTTAGGATGTTTCAACATCATTGCATGCCAAGTGCATGACATGGATTGTGCAGCAATGGGCTGAGGTTAGTTTCCAGTTATTTGGTTTGTGGGTGATTCAGAGGGTTGGCTGAAGGCATTGTTTTTTAGAAGACTTATTCAGCACTTCATTCCTGTGATAGGGAGTCATCTGACTTCACCCGGGTACAGCAACTAGCTCTGCTGGATTCTCACCTCACTGAAAGTATATGGATTGCTTCATCTCTGTAATTTGATGCCGTTTATTGCTTTGGGGATGGCAAAAGGAAGAAAAATGCTGGAAGAAATGTTCTCTTATGAATGTTTTCAAAAGTTCTGAGTGAAGCTGTACTCCTGACTGTGAATATGTGAGGAGATGTCAAGTCTAGTTCTGCTGACTCACTTTCCTTTTAACTATTTGACTTGAATTTTGTTGCATTGGAGGGAATCTAACTAAATCTCCTGGTACTGCACTTTGAAAAGTTTTCAAACATTATGGACTCAATGTTGTTGTCATTAAAGCCTTTGGAAGGTCTGCTATTGACTTAATTGGAAGCTATTTCTCAAACCATATACCTCTGGTGGCTTGTGGGCCATAGTTAGTGGTAGGCGGCATGGCTTATAAGAATTGATTATAACTAAATGTATTGTAATTCTGAAGGTGGTGTGCAAAGTAGTAAGAATTTTAGATGTTATGCTAACTCAGGAAGCTTTAGAACTACTGGGTTAGATAAATGTTTTAGTTCGGTAGCATCAGGAAAACAGACTTTAAAAGTGTCGACAAATCTCTCTTCTCCTACCCTGTTTTGTTATATGTAAATGGCTTATTTGCTTTCAGAAATGAGTTTTTAAAACTGAACACATGTTTCAGAGAAAATTCAATTATTTGAAACATGGAGAGCATAATTCAGACAAACACTTGGGTTGCTGAGCAGCACAATATCATGTGAAACTCAATTTGCTGCTGAGAGTGACGCTTTCACAGTTGACTGACTTCATGTTATGGTCAATATCTGAAATCACAATTAAGGGGGACTGATGCTCCAGTTTTCAATTTTGTTTTCAGGTTTTTGTGCCAGGATGAATCCACTAGCCAGGAAAATATGAAATTATGAAGGTGGCGCAAGCATAAATGTGCCATGTGCATCAGTGCTGATTTCTCCACTGAAAGGCTTAAGGATGGCATAGTGCTATTTAACACTTTAAATTTCTGAACTAGTCAATTTGTTTTGTTGGAAAACCCAATTTGTGTTCAAGAGAGGATGAGGTCTGTCTCACGTTATTATATTTTTCAAAAACACACATAGTTTGCAGTATCGATTTGAGTCATGATCTAAACTGGTGTAGTGTTTGCCATCCCTGCTCCACTGATGTCTTTATCACTGCTGGAATCTTGAAGATAATCACCTTTTTTTTTCCTGTTGGTAGTGTCAGTCTCAATAATTCACTTGGCTCTGAGCAGAGTGCTGCTGTTGGAGTAGGTGTGTGCTTAAGCACTAGTACTGAAGCTGGATTTATGTTTACTTTATACAGATCATAAAAGGGATGCCCAAACTTTTCAACACTGAGATCTTGCCAGAAGCCTAAATAGTGCCCTGATTTCCCCCCCTCCTATAAATGTGTATGTATATTTAGTCTCAAAAAACATTTAAAAAAAGGGATTCCAGTTGCTTAGAGCCTCACATAAGAGAAAACTGATGGAGAACTTTGTTCAGTCTCTTGGCTGTTTGCAGGGAGTAGTCATTGGTTACAGCAGAACTATGTGTTAATAACAAAAGCAGTGGCTATGCTTGCAAAACAGGGTGGTGATAGCAAAAAGGTAAAATGGGGCAGTAAGGCATGATCTAGCTAGCCACACTCTGTTTCCTACCCTATTAAACATGTGTAACAATGGCACGTTGGCCTTCGGCAAGGTAATGCATGACCTCAGCTTAGTACTTTGCCACAAGCAAAACCACTCTGTCCCGTTGTGGAATTCTGTGTGTTGAATATTGAGATTTGAAGTTCAAGGCAGTGGAGAGTTGGTCCCTTCATGCAACCATTTCCTCCAGTGCAAACATGGGTATAAAATGCTACAAATTCTGATTTTAATAGAATTTGGCATTCAGTTTGCATGGATATTAATGGTGCCATCAGGAGCAGGGTGATGGAGACTTAGACTAATAGGCTTGCAGTGGTGCATCACTGTATATAAGATATGCTACCATGAGAGGGCCGCAGGCTGCATGTTTGCAGCTTCACTATTAAGTCTTTTAAATGCTAGAGGAACCTTGGCAATGATTTCCTAGTATTGACAACATTGGCTTAGTTCCCTGAGTGTCAGCTGTGTTGTGAGCCCACATGTAGATAAGATAACTGCTGCCACCAATGTTTTAAGTTTCTATCTGTTTACCGCAGGTCTAAAGAATGATGCCAGCAACCAATTTACACTAGGGCTTCTGATGTTAACTTTGGTGGTAGTATTTCACTTGCAATTGAGAGCCTCCAACTTATTCTGTAGTTCTTGTGCCTCTTCATAATGCTGGGCTAGAGTCAAGCTCAACAGAATTCTCTTTCACCACTGATTCTGCTAAGCCGCAGTTCTGGTAGATGAGAGGTAGGGACAGGAGGAATCTCATTCACCATCAGTGGTGCTGAAGTGAAGATAGTAAGCCAGCAGCTATTTTGAACCTAGGTTGAACCAGGGACCTCTAAGGATGAAAACATGTTTCTGTAGCTTGATCTGAAGAACCAGGCTTTCTAGCTATGGACTATAATAGGCATATCCTTTGTGAGGCACAGGGATGGGGCTGGAGGTGGCACAACATCTGTAAAAGTCCACAACATTTTCCTGTGTGTGGACAAGTCTTTGCAGTGAATCTTCATTTCAGTCTAGTTGCATTCCACACTGATAATCCTCCTGGAGTGCAGCAGTTACCACCTAGTGGACAGGTCTTCAGAACTGTCTTTCCAGCCTGCATCTGCTCAAGGAAACATTTAGAAAGAAATTATTGCTGGTTCTGTAGAACCGGTGTTAGCATTGGTGGGTGCCCTAATATAAACATGTATCTGAGGGT